ATAGGCTGCCAGGTCCGTAACTCCCTGGTGTGCTGCAGTGGGCGGGAACACCTAGCCAGTGCAATTCAATCAGACTGTGGCCGACAGGGAAGGAAGCTGGGGCTCCTATATACACTTGCATATAAGGAACAGAAAATATGGGAAGAGGGAGCAACAAGAAAGGATCCTTGGCTCCCAATCCTGAGAAACAGGCAATAGCAGACACGGCACCAATAGATATAAAGCGCTATCTCCAGAGCCTCATAGATGAGTTCAGGAATGAAGTTATTAATGACCTGAAGCTAGACATAAGCAGAATAGTTAGTGAAATGCTAAGCACCACCCAAGAAAAAACAGATGGTGGAATCAATCAAAGAACAGACAAAAGGGGGAGACTTGTTTGATGGAGAAAATAGAGAAAACATAGAATACGTGAAGCAGGTTCAAAGAGATTACCAGAAAACTAAAAACTCTATCGAAAACTGGCATAACAGCTTGAAAGAAACTAAGGATAGATTATCTGAACTGGAGGGCAGATTTGTAATATGGGAGCATAAAATGAAAAACTTCTTAAAAATAACAAAGAAAACTTCCAGGAGAACATGGCGGACAGATAACAGCAACTACCGGAGGCTCTCTGAAAAACTAGGCTGAGAAGCCAGGTATGGTGCGGACTAAAGAGACATAAGCAGGTGGAGTTATGCTCTGCTGACTCAGGAACGAACTCGGCTGAGAGAAACCAACTTGGAATGTAGTCTTGGTGCTAAAACAGGAACAGAAAAGTCTCGCTGCTGAGGCTGGACCCTGCGCCATTGGAAGCCGCGATTTGGGTTTCCCGCCGCGCGGCGGCTGGCTGCCTCTACATCGGCTCGGCAAGGAGAGAGACGCGCGGAAACTCTGAGAACGGGAGTCTGCGAACGGAGTCGAAAACAGGACGGGCAGGGAGGCATGTTCTGACTTGTGGCGAGGTGAGTGAGAGAAACTGACACTCCACCACAGTTTGACTCCAGCAGACTTTCTGGGCCCGAGCAGTCCTGCGGGAGCAGGGCGCGGTGGCGACTCCAGCCACACATTCCCCTCTCTGGCAGGATTGGTGAAAAGTGACTGGCCTGCGTGACGCTGCCGGCGGACCCCGTAGGCTGGCCCAACCCAGATCCCAGAGCCTGACGGAGGCCGGGAGGGGCGGGCCCCCGAGTAGGCTGCCTGGTGCGCAGCGGTGAGTGGGAACACCTAACCGGCGCAATTCGATCAGGCTGTGGCTGACAGGGAGAGAAGCTGGGCCTCTCATATAAGCTTGCATATAAAAGGAAAAGAGAATATGGGAAGAGGCAGCAACAAGGAAGGCTCCTCAGCCCCCAATTCTGAGAAACAGGCAATAGCGGACACCGCACCAATACACATAAAGCACCATATAGAGAGCCTCATAGACCAATTCAGGAATGAAGTTATCAACGACCTGAAGCTAGAAGTATGCAAAATAGTTAGAGAAATGCTAAGCCCCACCCAAGAAAAAACAGATGGTGGAATGGAAGAACAGAAAAAGAGGGGAGAATTGTTTGATGGAGAAAACAGGGAAAGCATAGAAGACGTGAAGCAGGTTCAAAGGGACTACCAAGAAACTAAGAAGTCTATCGAAGACTGGCATAACAGCTTGAAAGAAACTAAGGACAGACTATCTGAACTGGAGGGCAGAATTGTAATATGGGAGAATGAAATAAAAAACTTCTTAAAAATAACAAAGAAACAAACAGCAATAATACAAAGACAAGAAGATGATAAGAGGATCCATAACTTAAGGATTAAGAACATAAAAGAAGAAGTAGGGACACAAACAAATGAACTACAAAAGCTACTCACAGAAATAATCCAGGGGAATTTTCCTAATTTAGCAAAAGGTAAAGATACTCAGATATATGAGGCATACAGGACCCCAGCTACCTACAACCCAAACAGAGAAACACCCAGGCATATAATAATAAAAATTCCAGAAATTCAATACAAGAACAGAATATTAAAAGCTGTCAGAGACAAGAAACAGACCACTTACAAGGGAGCACCCATCAGAATTACAGCAGATTTCTCTGCACAAACCATCAAATCACGAAGAGCGTGGGGGGAAATAATTCAAGCTTTGAAAGATAATAATCTCCAGCCAAGATTGAGATATCCTGCACAACTGTCCCTGGAAATTGATGGAAAAACAAGGTACTTCCAGGATAAAGAGGAACTGGGGGAATATGCAACCACCAATTCAACTCTACAGAGAGTATTGCAGGATATTCTAAAAAAAGAAAAATACAAAGAATCCAGAAATAGTGGAGGCCACAACTAATGGAGCAGAGAACAAAGTAAAGAAGACAAACTGACAGCTACTGACAGAATAAGAGCTCAACAGAAATGAAGCAGAGAAGATTGGATGATAGGAACAGCTATTTTGGAGAAAATGACATCTTAATAGGTAATACTGATTTAGTATCATCTTATTTTGAAGTCTCATCTAGCTTTTGTCCTTCTGTCTCCAATGGTCTAAATAGGTTGTATCTTACTGGATTTTATTATGTATGATAGTATAAGCAAAAACCTTTTAAAGACAAGGAGATTATCCAGAAACCATTATTCATTTTCTGTTAGTCGATTCTAAATACTCTGTAATGCTGTCATTCTCTTAAATGGTTTTACATTGTTTTGATATACTTAATGCTACAGTATATGAAGTTGTACTCAAGGGTTTCAAGGAAAGAGACAATATGGTAACTACTTTTAGGTCAGGATTATCTGGTGGTGAAACGCTATTCTGCTTAAATGGTTATGTTTTGATCTGTGCTGTTTTGTTGTTATGCCCTCTTTTATCTCAATCTCCATTCCATTATTTACTTTTTTAATACTTTTTTAAAATTTTTATCCTTTTAATTAAAGGAAAAAAAATAGCAGGATATATTATAGTAACCCACTTTGACTTTCCATTACCTCGATTTAAAGCCCTGTATTACTCTCACCATCTGGTTTTTAACTGATGTTCCCCTATTCTGTTTTGCTGGATAGTATCAGGTTCGAAAATTTAGGCATCAGCTGTGAAGATAATGAGATTCATTATAACGCCCATTCTCGTTGACTTTTACTTTTGAAGACCTACAATGTCTCCAACGGTTTGGCTTTGTCGGTTTTGTTCTTTACTGTTTTGTTCAATTGTATTATAACTAATGGTATAGGCAATTCTATCAGAGATAGCGGGAGGCATTATGGTAACCATTGTTGATCACCTTGTATTATGTTTTCACATTATCTATTATGTCCACCCTTTTGACTTGACCGATTCTGTTCTGTTATGTCACATTTGGTTTTACTCTCTTCCAAAAAAGTAATAAGAACCGTGAGAGCAATGAAACCCAAAATGTGTAATAGTCATTGTACAAAAGAGAGGAAAAGAAAGTACTCTAAACTATATAACTGCATGTATATTTAAGTGTACAAGATAGAATATGATATCACAGAGTTTTATTGGATCATTGAACAGAACTGTTTGCAGTATCATTGATGGAATGTCCACTTTACAAGCTTTAATTTTGTGACTTGAACAATTATTTCTAAGATGACAGTATGTAATCCATTAACTAGTGATTTCCTACTGTTCATTTTTTTTCTGCAAATTTGTATAACTTGTACCCTTTCTCTGCTTTTTTTCTTTTCTCCTTAAATAAAATTTAAAAATAAAAAAAAATAACAAAGAAACAAGCAGCAATAATACAAAGACTAGAAGATGATAAGAGGATCTATAACTTAAGAATTAAGAACATAAAAGAAGAAGTAGGGACACAAACAAATGAACTACAAAAGCTACTCACAGAAATAATCCAGGGGAATTTTCCTAATTTAGCAAAAGGTAAAGATACTCAGATGTATGAAGCATACAGGACCCCAGCCACCTACAACCCAAACAGAGCTACACACAGGCATATAATAATCAAAATTCCAGAAGTCCAATATAAGAACAGAATACTAAAAGCCGTCAGAGACAAGAAACAGATCACTTACAAGGGAACACACATCAGAATTACAGCAGAATTCTCGACACAAACCATCAAATCATGAAGAGCGTGGGGGGAAATAATTCAAGCTTTGAAAGATAATAATCTCCAGCCGAGATTGATATATCCTGCACAACTATCCCTGGAAATTGATGGAAAAACAAGGTGCTTCCAGGATAAAGAGGAACTAGGGGAATATGCAACCACCAATTCAACTCTACAGACAATACTGCAGGATATTCTAAAAAAAGAAAATACAAAGATTCCAGAAATAGTGGCAGAGAGGCCATAGTGAAGGGAGCAGAAAACAAAATGAAGAAGACAAACTCACAACTAATGACAGAAAAAGAGCTCAACAGAAATGAGGCAGAGAAGATTGGATGATAGGAACAGCTATTTTGGAGAAAAAGACATCATAATGGGTAATGCTGATTTAATATCATCTTGCTTAGAAGCCACATCAAGTTTTTGTTCTTCTGTCTCCATAGGTCTTAACATGTTGTATCTTATTGGATTTTATTATATGTGATAGTATAAACAAAAACTTTTATAGACAAGGAGATTATACAGAAACCATTGTTCATTTTCTGTTAGTTGATTCTAAGTACCCTGTAATACTGTCATTCTCTTGAATGGTTTTACATTGTTTTGATATATTTGATGCTACAGTATATGAAGTTATACTCAAAGATTTCAAGGAAAGAGACAATATGGTAACTACTTTTATGTCAGGATATCTTGTGGTGAAACACTATTTTGCTTAAATGGTTACATTATGATCTGCCATTTTGTTGTTTTGCCCTCTTTTATCTCAATCTCCATTTTATTATTTACTTTTTTATTTTTATCCTTCTAATTAAGGGAAAAATAAATTTAAAAATTGCAGGATACATTATAGTAACCCACTTTGATTTTCTATTAACTTGATTTGAAGCCCTGTATTGCTCTCACCCTCTTGTTTTGACTGATATTCCTCTTTTCTGTTTTGCTTGATAGTACCAGGTTCGAAAGTTTACAGCTGTGAAGATAGTGGGATTCATTATGACGCCCATTCTGGTTGACTATTATCTACTTTTGAAGACCTGGAATGTCTCCCATGTTTTGGTTTTGTTGGTTTCGTTCTTTACTGTTTTGTTCAATTTTATTATAACATGATATAGCTGATTCTATTTGAGATAGCTGGAGGCATTATGGTAACCATTGTTGATCACCTTGTATTATGTTTTTACATTATCTATTATGTCCACCCTTTTGATTTGACCAACTCTGTTCCGTTATGTCACATTTGGTTTTACTCTCTTCCAAAAAAGTGATAAGAACCATGGAAGTAATAAAACCCCAAATGTATAATAGTTTTTGTACAAAAGAGAGGAAAAGAAAGTGCTCTAAATGATATAACTGCATGTATATTTAAGTGTATAAGATAGACAATGATATTACTGAGTTTTGTTGGATCATTGAACAGAACTATTTGCAGTCTCATTGTTTGAATGTCCACTTTATATGCTTTAATTTTGTAACTTGAACAAATATTTCTAAGATGACAATATGTAATCCAGTAACTAGTGATCTCCTACTGTTTATTTTTTTTCTGATATTCTGTGTAACTTGTACCCTTTTTCTGCTTTTTTTTCTCTTTTTCTCCTTAAATAAAAAAAAGAACAAAAAAGTTAGACCCCCCCCAAAAAATTTAAAGACCGAATAATTGAGCATCTGAAATGAAATGACACTTCTTGATGAAGAAGTACAATTGGCCAATAAATGCTACATGTGGAAATGTTCAGCATTTCTGGTCATGCAAGAAATGCAAATAAAACACACTAAGACTTCATGTCACTCCAGAAAGACTGACTACCATCAAGAAATCAACAATAACAAATGCTGGAGAGACTTCAGCTGAAGTTGTAACCCTTTTCTGTGTTGGTTGAGTGTAAACTGGTATATCCACTGTGCAAGTCAATATAGAGATTCATCTAAAAATGAAAAATAAAATTCTACTTGACTCAGCATTTCACCTGCTAGATGTCTTCCCAAAAGAGATAAAGACATCAGATTACAGTGATAAAATCATACCCACATTTATAGCCACATAGTTCATAATAGCTAAATAGTGGAAGCAGCCTATATATCCATCAACTGATGAATGCATAAAGGAAATGTGGTATTTATACACAATACAGTATTAACTTCCATAAAGATGGATTTGCTTTAGTGTTCTGTAGGAAAATGCATGCACTTTGAAACCATAAATTTAGGTGAGGTTAATCAGACACAGGAGCTTAAATATCAGATAGTTTCTCTTACATGAGAAACCCAATAGGTAAATAAAGTGCAAAATCAAAGACAGATAATAGGGAAAAAAAGAGAATAGAGTTACTAAAATATAGTATGTCCAAAGTATCTAAAAGTATATGCTGATTTAGTGTAGCTATCTTATGTGTTTTATTTGTCCTTTGACTGTTAGTCTGGCCATTAATTTGTGTTTATGATAATCAACTTGATAAAGGCTTATAAAATAACTAAATTTGATGCTAGGAAACAGAACAGATAGAGGTCAAGGGGGAAAAAGAGTTGGGATGTGTTATGTATGTATACATTTATTCTCAATGAATGTAATCATTATATACTGGAAACATGTACTAATAAAAATTTTTAAAACCTTTGTACATTGATATACCTCAAAACACTAGGAAAAAATGAGTTTTTTAAATGGTAAATTAAACTGAGTAATATGTAAAAAGACTGGTACATCATGATTAAGTGGATTTAGTGAAATTTATTCTGGGAATGTAAAGTGTGTTTTGTTGTTTTTGTTGCTATGTAGTGTTAGGAATTTTACAAAGTTCTTTTCATATATTTGATCAATTTATCGCTATTTATTTTACAGTTTTTTCAATATTATGAGTAACAGATTTTTCTCATTTTATATTCATAGCAGCTTGCTGTCATAAAATTGAAAAATCTATTTAATTTAGTATTTTATTTCATGATACAATCATCTTACAATTTGCTTTATCTATTTTACTAGTATTTTATTAGTATACATCATCAGCAGAAAGAGATCATCTAACTTTTCTAAGTTTTTGTATCAATTATTTCACTTGTCAAATTGTATCTTTTGAAGTTTCTAAGACAATGTTAAATAAATATGATGCTAGTGTGATTCTATACTTAGTTTCTGATTTTAATTTATTTGGCTTGCCTTTTATAATATTACTTGCTACTGTTTTTAGATACATTTGTCCTTTTATATGTAGGTACTTTTCCTGCTCTATTTTGATTTATTTAAAGTGTTAGAAATGAGAAAAGAAGGAAAATAAGGAAACAATGGTTTGTAAATGGGGAGGGGAGGAGGAATTGAAGAGAGGATAGGGAAAAGGGAGGGGAAAAACTAGTTATATTATGTACAGGTACACATTCTTTATGATGACTGTGATCATTATGAATAACTTAGATGTACCAATAAAATCTAATGCAAACAAATTTTTTAAAAGGAAAAAACTTTAAAAATAAAAATAAATAAAATTTTAGAATGGATACTAATTTATTCACATAAACTTTCATCATTTTTGTATCATAGAGTATTTCTGTTTTAATTTTTATAGGAATGACTTATGATAGTATATTTCCAGAGGTTCAAACACTGCATTCCTGAAATAAACCTTTCTTGAACATAGTTTTGTGTGTGTGTGTGTGTGTGTTAAAGAGGATACATCAAAACAAACCAGTGTAAGAGGTACAGGACTTCAAAACATTACAAAATCAACAATAGTTACCATAATGCGCCGTGGCATCTTCAAAATAGCTGCAGATACCTTCCAACATAGTAAAAATCAAACAGAACAGAATAGAAACAATAAAACCAGAACAATGAATGCAATAAAGGACTTCAAAATAAACCAATAGCAATCCAAAATTGCTGCGATAGTATATCTTGCTATCCTTGAAAGAGTTGCTCTTGCCATCAGATTTAACATACTCAAACAAAGCAAAGAGAATAAAACGTGTTGTACTCTACTCAGAAAAACAGGGCCCCATGATGAAAAACAGGGCAAGACCCCAACATGACAAATGGGGCAAGACGTCTTTTTAAAAGAAGCGCTTTTATTTTAGCTGGCCCAGTGATACAGTGCAGATGGAATTTGCAAAGCTGTGCAACTGAGTTAGAGTTTTGACTGATTTTTATAGCTCATTTATGATTAGCTCATTGATCATTAAGTTCATAGTGATGAGAAACAGAAATAAGGTGGGCCTTGTTCCCCTTTGCTTGAGGTAAGAGGCATTTCACAGTGGGTGGTTAGTCAATTCATAGCCCTTGGTCTGCCAATTTCAGGAACATTTGTCTCTCATAAAGGGAACAATGGTTGACACAGCATCATTTGTCTCTTACAAGGGGAACAAAAGTTGACATAGCACACAGGTCACTAAGGGGAAGGGGGATGACGCATTACAGAACAGCAGAACGAAGTGGTCAGTTAATTTATAACTATGTGGTTGGTGCTTGGTTACTAGGGTAATGAGCTCAGTACAGAATGACAATATTACTAATAACTATATTTTTAAGTAACGATTTTTGTTAATTATCTTTTAATCAATTATTTTAATTTTTAGCATCTTAGTATAACAAAACGCAGTCTGACAAAACAATGGAAATTATATAGGACTTTAAAACAAGACCACAGGGAGTCAACAATGGCTGTAACCCTCAGAAGGAGATCCCCCCTGTTAGTAAGCCCGATCACTTACCAGAGGAGAGGGGATTGTACTTCTTGTTTGCCATCCCGTGCACTGGAAGTGGCTGGAGTCTGCCTATTCCTAGTCCAGTGGTGGCCCACACATGTCACTGGTCCCCAGACTTGGCTTGCTTCTTGTTGTGGCCTTGTTCTCTCTACCCCAGTCTGCAAATGGCCAGCTTTTCTTTTTCTTTGATGCATTAATGGAGTTTATTTGCCAAAATTTGGAAGAGAATTATCTATATTTTTGATATTGTACTATAATTTTTACCATTATAAAATAAATTTTAAATTTGTCCTTGATTCCTAAAATAGATTAGTAAGTCTCCCAATTTAAATAATATATTTTAAAAAATAACTACAATCATCTGTTCTTTACAAGTTTGTATCAGTCTGGTACTGGAGCCTTTTCAAATGATAGAATTTTTTTTAATGTTATGCTTACCCAAAACCAGGCTAAATTGAGCCCATTTGAGACACTATAGGAGAGTCCACTTTTATCTTCTGATATGGTAGCAGACCCAGAGATCATGAGATTTACATCTTATTAATGTAGGCCAAATACAATAAGCTACCCAAATGTATGGGAACAGAGTCCTGTCTGTTTCCAACCCAGGGGGACCACCTAGTAATTCCCTAGAGGCCAAGTGTTCATAAAAACTTGGAAAGAAGGGCCTCCTGCAGACCAGTTAGAACCAAAATGGAAGGGCCCTTTTTCAGTGAACCTGGCCACTCCCATTGCAGTAAAGGTGGCAGAGACTTATAACTGGATTCATCTTTCTATGCCAAAGGCAAACCCACATGAGCTGTCTGAAGAAAAAGGTCACCCAAAAGAGAAAAGCTAATCCTATGAGCCTCTGGAAGAATTGAGATTTCTCTTCAAAAAACAAGATTCCAGTGCCTCTACAGATAACTAAGTGAGATCTTGCCAAGGCCGTGGCTTTTAGGTTCTTGATAATTTACCTAACTTCCCTCTCTGACGTATGTTTTCTTCCACAACAGGTATGAAATTCTGATCAGAAATGCTCCTCATATTTGGGCTAATCATTCAATTTTTTTCTCCTATCAAATAGTAGCTCAGTGGTCACTAATTCTTTTCTCATTGTCTTCTAACACTTTTTCTTTTCAACTCAACCAGTGAACCATGTACTCCCAAGATAGCTGGAAAACACATAATCTTCTGTAGGTAGGATCTACGGCCATTTCCAGTCAGAAATAGGAGAAGATAGAGACCTCTTTTCCCTCAGTGCCTCATAAAAAATTATGGGGGAAATGATGCAGAAGACAGTGTGATTAAAATGGAGATACTGGAAAGTAAGAGAGATGAAAGATTTCAAACAAGGTCAAATCCATCAGTTTTTTTATGGCCATAACTTGTACTCTAAGTAACTACTTTAAAGATAAGAATATGTCATGTATTATTTATTCTATTATTTTGTTATGAAATATTGCTTTAATTTTTCCATAAAAAAAATCAAGGGTGGAGGGATACAGCTAGGCAAATGTCAGTACACTTTAGGGCTCAAGAATAATCCTTTACAACTGGGAGTGTTGGTGCACACTTATAATCCCAGCACCTGGCAGCCTGAGGCAAGAAGTTCATTGCAAGTTTGAGACCAGCCTGGGATACAAAAATGAGCTCAAGGCCATCCTGAACTGCATAGTGAGACCCTGTTTCAAAAAGACAAAAAAAAAAATCCTCTTATTTCATACCCCACTTTTCAGACTCACTGGGATGGTGGTCCCACCTTCCAGACCCAATAGAGTAGGTGATGAAGAGTGGTGATGTCTCTTGGACCCTTCCAGGCACTCTTCCAGGTACTGTGCAAAGGAGTCTGGAACTCAGGAGAATACACCTTTGTTCCCTGGGCCCATGGTAAGAATAGCCACCATGATGACACTTAGTCACTCATTCCTTGAAGAATAGCTTGCATTTACAGCCAACTACTGTGATCCTATCCTATCAAATCCAAGAAGTCCCACTACCTTTCTTCCTTTTGATCCAGCTCCGCTACTTCAGTTCAAACTGACTGCATTGAGTCAGAAGAACATGGCGGACAGATAGCAGCAGCGATGGAGGCTTTCTGAGATACCCCACTTAAAATCTAGGAATGGTGGAGTACGAGGATTCCTAAGTAAGGGGAGATACACCCTGCTGACCCAGGAATGAACTAAGCTAAGAGAAACCAACTGGAAATCCAATCCTGGTGCTGTAACAGGAACAGATGAAATCTCAGCACGGAAGCTAGAACCTGTGCCACTGGAAGCCACGATTTGAATTTCCTGCTGCCGCTGCTGCATCC